GGTAGAAAGACCTTTTTTTTTTTTTTTTTTTTTTGTGATTCTGCTCAAGTATTTATCACAAAGAACTCTAAACCGCATTATTTAAAAGAGCACTGGTACTGCCAGTAACAGAAATAAAGGAGAAAAAACCCGGTGTTTAGGATGAAAGAGTAACACTTTTGAATTTGGTCGCCTTTCTAATGAGAAAGTGTGAGTTTCATGCTTCTTGTATTACACCTCTTACACATTTTTTGAGCTTTGATTGTCAGGTGTGGGTTGTTAGCTGTTGCTCCGCCATGTGGTGTCTGTGGTTGGTTTAGAATGTGAAATGTAGCTTTTTTTCACCAGCAGAATATCGTAACTTAGTCATGAAGACACGAGGCCTTCACAAACAAGTTCATCACGTCGGCCAATGCCGCTCACGCTGCCACTTTGAGCGTGTGTCTGCATATAGAAATGACTGTGGCGTGTTGCAGCGAGCCGTAAAAAGTAACGGCTTCCACATCACACAGAGGCTGCTCTGGCATCCACTGCAGACCACGAAGTTAGAAAAACTGATGAAATGCAGCAGCTTTCTTTTCTCTAATGCGATGGGATTTTGAAAGGGGGCATGTAATGGCAAAACATGTTTAATATCTGTTTGTTGTTAACAAGAAATGGAAGAAAAAAAATGTCTCTATCATCAGCATTATGGGGCTGATGAACGACTTCTAAAAACACAATTGCTTTATTAAAGAGAAATTTTATTACCAGGATCTACAAGACGTGTCTTTGTGAGTTTTCTTTTTCTCATCTGACACAGATTTTATTTAACCAACTGGTCATATTAAATATTTTTTCTCCTCTAAATGGTTTTTCTGATGCAACACAAGTTCAGTCAGATTCACATGCAGTCATTATGTCTATAAATATCAGATTAATTTGGTGCTTTTATCAATGAGTTTCACTGGTGTTCTTTCCGTCTGAGGACAAACAACTAGCATGATGCTACACCCAGCTTCAGAATCAAACATTCAAGCTCAAATGCATGTTGATGAAGCCGCATATTTATACATTCTGCATAGAATGCCGCATAAACCGGACAAAATTTCTCCTGTTTTAATTCTGTTACAGTTGCCAAGATTATTTCTACAAGCCAGATCGATAGCAGAACAGTTTGTTACTACATTCACGAGACTGCTGTAAAATTGTAAGCTTCTGATTCACTGGCGTTAAATAGAGGCCCACGTCAAACACAGTGCTACCTTATGTGAAGTATA